CTAATGGATCCCTAAGTTTTTATTTGTATTTTATATTTTATACATTTAAACAAATCAATAGTTTTTCTCTATTTATAAACTTAATAATGAAATCATTGAATCGTTTGACAACTAATTTAATTTAATTCACAAAATCATTATTTCAATAAATTCTCGCTTTTGATATATAATTGTATTTTTATTCATAATTTTTGTTAAATATATTTCTCATAAAATATAAGATAATAAAACACTATTAATAGAAAAAATTATTTAAAAATTTGCACAAAAAAACAGGAGATTTATAACCAGTTTATAATTGAAGTCATAATTAAATCATAATTAACTGAAATAATAGATAACAAAATGAATTGTCATTTGAATTGACAAAACATGGAGAAGAATGGCGTTTAAATGGTCACCGATTTGACCGCCTTCTGCGCCGCGTCGTCCAGATCTGTAGCCGATATGATATCAGAGACTTCGCTGAGAAGAGCTCTGGCCGTCTCGGAATTGGTTCCCTCGAGTCGTACGATAAGCGGCACTTTGACGAGACTTCGGGCGGCAATGAGTCCCTTAGCGATGGTCTCGCAGTTAACAATACCACCAAAAATATTGACTAAAATCGCGCGAACTTTTTGGTCAGCGGTTATCAAACGGATATAAGCGGCACTTTGACGAGACTTCGGGCGGCAATGAGTCCCTTAGCGATGGTCTCGCAGTTAACAATACCACCAAAAATATTGACTAAAATCGCGCGAACTTTTGGGTCAGCGGTTATCAAACGGAATGCATTCTCGACTCCCAACTGATTGACAGACCCGCCGACGTCCAGAAAGTTGGCCGGACTTCCGCCGTAATGATGGATGATATCCATCGTAGCCATTGCCAGACCGGCGCCGTTCACGAGACACGCGATGTTGCCGTCCATCGGCACAAAGTTCAAGTTGTAATCGCGCGCCAATCGGTCTCTCGGGTCCTCTTCGGCCGAGTTTTCGTTTTCAATTTGTTTCATCCATTGGTGTCTAAACGACGCGTTTTCGTCGAAATTGATTTTGGCGTCAAAACAGACCAATGAGTCCTTCGTTGTGATACCGAATGGATTGATCTCCACCTGAAGAGCGTCTAATTTNCAATTTGTTTCATCCATTGGTGTCTAAACGACGCGTTTTCGTCGAAATTGATTTTGGCGTCAAAACAGACCAATGAGTCCTTCGTTGTGATACCGAATGGATTGATCTCCACCTGAAGAGCGTCTAATTTTATGAACATTTTATATAATCGGCTGATCTGTTGGGCCGCGTCTTCAGCAAGATTTCCACTCAAACCTAAACCACTTTTGGCTACTTTTTTAGCCAACTCTATGTCAAGATCTTCGGCGTTGGAATCAATAGGAATCGGGAATTTATGGATAGCGTCGGGAGTTTTCTCGGCCACCTGTTCGATGTCGACACCGCCCTCTTGTGAGGCCACTATGACTGGTCCACCGCTCGCCCGATCCAGAAGTATAGCCAAATAAAACTCTTTCTTAATGTCGAGCGCCTCTCCGATCATCACTTTATTCACAAGAACTCCACTTTTGGTCGTTTGAGCGGTGATTAGGAAGTCGTTCAACATTTTGGCACAAATTTCCGTCACTTTTTGCTTGTCTTTCGTCAACTGAACGCCTCCTTTCATCGACGAGTTCTTGAAGTAACCCTTTCCGCGACCGCCGG